AGGCCAACATGATAATTGGTATCACAACACTCACAATAAAATTCATATGACGTCTTTTGATAGTTATATAGTAATATGCAATGTCAAAAGATTCCGACCAACGCATTGTAGCTGATCCTATCACATCCCATTCAGTATTTTTATAAAAATAAGAGAAAAAAACAGTTGAAGAAGGTATATTCAGAATCACTTCTTTGCTCGAGTATCCCCATGGGCTCACTGATAGTGTGCATGTTTGTTGATCAAACGGGAAATTAGAAACATCCGGTGTACATGTTGCTTTCAACAAAGCACCAGGTGTCCATAGTACAGTTCCATTTGCTATTACTTTGACTTTGAAGTGATTACTGGCAATTGGTAGAAATGAATCTGCTGGATTGCATAAGAACATTTTGGGAAGCCAAATTTTCCTCTGTGTTATCGTCAATACAGTTGTGTTTCCATACGAGGTGGAATTCCAAACCAAACTTTCGTCAGTCCAAGAAATGTACAAGATGATGACCACCGATATTGTTCCAGCTACTTCGTCAAAGTCGTTGATGGATACAACATCAAGGTTCATGTTTACAGTCACGGCTTTCGATTGGTCCTCTACTGGTCGGATGTCTTTGGAATAGTTTTGAAACAAATCTCGTAATAGTAATTTAGTATATCCCATTGTAGTCGCACCGACAACGTTACTACATAGAAGAACAGTGACAATCATGAATAAGAAATGCTCCATACTTTACCAGGACACTGCTGCTTTATTGGAGTCCTCTGTTGGAATACTCCTGGCTTTCCCTGCCTGCTGATAATACATTGAAAATGGACCGTGTCCAAATGCTGGTCCCGGTGAATAAGCACAAATATGAAACCATCTTTGCTATCACGTGTTTAGGGTGACGTCTAAGTGGAAATCCAATCAATGTTAACCACGCGTTATTGATTATTTAACCAGTTATTAGATACCGCGCCAACGTTTGTGATTAGTGTTAAAATAGAATATACATATTGCTAAATCCATAATATATAACATTGCGTGTGGTTATGATGTTGATACATTAAGTAAGGCGCGAAAGGGATTGACGTTATTGGGTTTGGAAAAGTTACAGAACGTATTGATCAAAAGAGAATGATTGTTCAGAATTATTTAGATAGCGACGTTTGTAATTTTATGCTAAATAATAACAATACATTAAGACTTATGACGACAAGCGTCCGTGATTTTCACTTGTATGGTCTTACTAAAGCTCAGAACCTTTCTCGTATCCATTATCACCGTTGCTATGTTCAATAAGTACCAACAGTCCTAGCTAGTATTATGCAGAAAAATATTCATAACATACAAATGAAATTTAGGTTCAACAGAATACAGATACATGTATATCTAATTGCCAGAAAACAATCAGCCGGTAGAAGTTTGATTAAAAAACAATATTTGGTTCTTTTTTTAGCATGCTTTTGTTAGAAAATCTTCACTCTAGGCCTTTTGGGTACTCAGAAGATGTCATATAAATGTTTTCAATACTAACAAAATCCCTGTCACCATAAATATGCGTGAAGGTCATTCATTTGAACAAATCTGGGCATGCTACTGACTAAATATCAACACCCTAAACCCTTTGGTTATTCAGAAAAAGTCGCTAAATCGTGTTTTTAAACACATATCACATCTGTGGTGAAGATCATTCATCTTAATTAACTTGAAAGCTCTTCATCTGAGCTTGCTATTTGCCAAATATTATCATTCTGGACCCGTAGATTATTAAGGAGTCGTTTGGAGAGAAAAAATGGAAAAAACGGTTGCCATTTCAAAAAGGCCGCAGATGCCAGCAAGCACCTTTTTGAGTTAATCACAAGGGCAAAATGTATGAAAGCCTGCATTGGCAATACCAATAGAGTTGAATACGAATTAATAATCGAAAACCACGGCATGTATTCATGAAACCATTCCGATTCTCAAACTTAACATTCAAGCCCAATTACTCGTTTCGGTGAAAATTATTCAAATTTCAGAGTTTTGAGTAACCTGAAGCTAAATACCGTTTTTATGTTAGACGTCGCTTATTGGCTGTATTCTGTTATTTCTACAAGTTACAAGACGTCAATCGAAATGACTGATTATCAAATCAATTGATATTTTACCATGTACAGTTCGTTGTGGTCGGTATACATAAAAACATAAATACACAAAATGTCCTAAACCAGTATCGGAATAAGTAGAAAACCCTGATTAAGGTAATTCAATTGCCAACAGAACGCATCTACTTAATTAGAACTGTTTCTGGAATAGCAAGTCAACTGAACGAGCTTGGGATGTTGTTCCTGAGGAAATGGAAACACGTTGTTGTATAGAGATAGATGACTGACGAGAAGTATGTGTCATCTGAAGTTTAAGAGAATACGTAAAATACAGAAGGTTTACGATTGTCTTGTTATTGAAAAACAAACTATCATCACATATCTCTATGTGAAATAAGACCAAGCAAATAGCTTATCTACTTTAATAAGCCTTATATGAAGTTTACTTCCCCGTGTATGCAGTAAGCTAATGCGGCATGTAAACACCGTAGTTTGGTGAAGCAAGTTCATGATAGGAAAATAACAAGAGATCCCAAAGGGATCTTGGCGCCCACCTTTGTACCATCTGCATTAGTTCTTTGTCGGTTCGATCTTTTCTCTTCTTTCCTCTAATCTGTTTGATCTAGTCATGTTAACAGTAAATGCACCTTGAGGTAACTTTTGATCTAAACTTAATACTGATGTGTATGAAAGCCAACCTTCAAAGTGAGTTTGTCATTTCACATATTTACTAGTACAGTACTTAATGTGAAAGAAATAGAATCGATCATTGCAATATGAGAAAGATCTGTTTAGTTCTTCTTTTAATCCATTTTGTTTTAATGATCAGTCTCAAAATATAACATACACAACGAGGGATCAAGGGGAACCTACATTTAAAATTTGAGAAAGATCCCTCCCGTACTTCCCGAGAAATAGCGATAACAAACTTTCACTATCAAAATCCAAGATGGCTGCCTGTCGGCCATGTTGTTTAACCGATCAGTCTCTAAAATTGCCCTGCACAGCTAGGACCAAGGGGAACCTACATATAAAATTTAAGAAAGATCCCTCTAGTACTTCTTGAGAAATAGCGGTAACAAACCTACACTATCAAAATCCAAGATGGCTGCCTGTCGGTCATGTTGTTTATCCGATCAGTCTCAAAAGTTGCTCTGCACAGCTAAGGATCAAGGGGAACCTGCATATAAAATTTGGGAAAGATCCCTCTGGTACTTCTTGAAAAATACCGATATCAAGAATTGTTTACGGACGGACGACGGACGACAGACGACGGACGGACGACGGATGGACGACGGACCACGCACGCAGGGGTCACTTGAGCCTTTGATTCCGGTGACCTAATAAGTTATACAATTTTGCATCATGTCATATTTTAGAAGCGCTTCTAGGACAATTAATAGATAGAAAATATAAACTTGATTTATTTCACATCATTCATTATACAAAAGGCCCAGAGGGCCTGTATCGCTCATCTGAATATTTGAGCAGTCATAGCAAATATTCTCATTAAATATTATATTGTACTACAAATTTGTCACTCGCAAACTATGTTGGCTCCATCTGTTGAAACTACCAGTTATGAAAGATTTTATGCTTTTTGGCCATCGTTCTTCTTCAAATATCATAATTTTATGGCTCACAATTTTTCAGAAGTCGCTCGATGTTTTTGACATATTTGACACCTGTAACCTTGAAGAAGGTCGGTCATTTTTATTCTCAAACTTTGTCAGGCTCTATCTCACGAAGTCACAAGGCAAATATGAAGGTTTTACACCTTTTAGTTCTCCAGTCGTTTAAAGAGTTTGGCATATTTGACAACTGTGACCTTGAAAGTAGGTCAAGGTCATTTTAATTGTCAAACTTTGTCGGGCTCTACCCCAGGAAGCCACCAGCCAATTTTGAAGATTATATATCTTTTAGTTCTTCAGGAGAAGTCGTTTGAAGTGTTTGACATATTTGACTGCTGTGACCTTGAAAGGAGGTCGAAGTCATTTTAATTGTCAAACTTTGTCGGGCTCTATCCCAGGAAGCCACCAGCCAAATATAAGGATTCTATACCTTTTGGTCCTTCAGAGGAAGTCGTTTAAAGAGTTTGACATTTTTGACCTCTGTGACCTTGAACTTTGTCAGGCTCTATCCCAGGAAGCCACCAGCCAAATATAAAGGTTCTATAACTTTTAGTTCATCAGAAGAGGTCGTTAAAGAGTTTGGCATATTTGACTCCTGTAACCTTGTAAGCCAGTCAAGGTAATTTTCATCCTCAAACTTTGTTGGGCTCTATCCAAGGAAGCCACCAGCCAAATATAAAGATTCTATACCTTCTAGTTTTTCAGAAGTCGTTTGAGGTGTTTGACATATTTGACCACTATGACCTTGAAAGTAGGTCAAAGTCATTTTCATTATCAAACTTTGTCGTGCTGTATCCAAGGAAGTAACCAGCCAAATATGCAGGTTATATACCTGTTTGTTTTTCAGAAGATGTCGTTTAAAAGAGTTTGACATATTTGACCCCTGTGACCTTGAAAGCAGGTCAAGGTAATTTTCATTCGCTAACTTTGTTGGGCTCCTACCAAGCCTTCAGCCAAATATCATGACTCTAGCCCTGTCCGTTCTTCAGAAGAAGTTGTTCAAAGGAAAAGTAGACGGACGACGGACTGACAACAGACACCGCACCATGACATAAACTCACTTGCCCTTCGGACAGGCGAGCCAAACAGTTATTTCAACATTTATTTATAACTCTTGTTGGCCTGGACGTTAATGTTAATGGGGGTATTAATGTGGGAGGAAACCAAAGTAGCCAAAGAAAACCCACATGGCAGGTGACCCAATCTGATCTTTCACATCCGATTTTGGATTAGAATCCCAGTTACCTTGGTGAAAGGCGAGCGTGCCATCCGACTATAAGGACATAAACAAAGTGAACGTTTCTGTGTTAAGGTGGAATATTTTATTAGGCTTTCATCTTGATGGTTGTAATCAAAATAATGCCATTATACATTACAGGAATAATACACAATTCATTTACAACCAGTATGAGTGATTTTAATTAAATGCACAGACACTTACCATGTTACCTGACAATACAAGACTGATAGCAAGCACAGTAATGATACAAGATAGCTAGTATTAGGTATACTGGCATTGAAAAGACTCTATGTTGCCTGATCACATAATTATGGTTTAAATAGGAAAATGGTGTTTGTATAATCCCGATCTTCTAGAAATTATTTGCATTCGCAGCAGTTCTTTAAATATTGAAATTAATGGCTTTGACTTTTCAAGAACTGTAAAAATAAATTGAAGGCTTGGCGATACGAAATAGTCCCTGTTGTTTCAAAAATGATTATCAACCATACAGTTAGATAAGGTTTAATCGTATTCACACTTATATCAAAAAGCTTTACAAGCAAACTCCCTCGAAAACAATCGTATGGAAACATGATAAAAATCTGATATTTTGGTCATTTGATTACATAACATACATACACTAGTGAGAAAAATAAACCCTACTCCTTAAACCCTCAAAACGCAGGGGCATCATAACACAACAGTAACAGGCAAGTCTCCATCCTTTAACGGGTCACAAACAGCGAGGCACAAGCACAATGTATAAAATTGTATTCAACAATTGATAAGGCAAATAAATGGTATTTTACTGTAGAAACCGAGCTTTTCATGCCACACAGATAAATATTTTTATCTTATATATAACTACTGTCTTCTTGACTTGGTTTGAGAAACATTTCAATCTGATACGTTTCAGCTTCATTTTACCGGTAGTGGGCGAGCTTTAAGTACTAAGATTTAAATTCAAATCATACAATGATGTTCACCTATCTGCGAATTATTGATTCCTTCACGAAAACTTCCGAGTCTACAGTTTCAAAATCACTTAAGCTTTGGATTAAAAAAATCACAATGGTAAAGGGAACACATGAGGAGATCATACAAATACAACCTTTCTGTACCAATAAAGAGGACGGGGGTTCACAATTATCGACAGCCCCAAAAAAACCTGCCAATCACAGAGTAAAAATCTTCTTTTTCATGATTTCTTTTTGTTTTTACATTCACCTACTGTAGAAATAACTAACTACCATCACACAGTATTATGCCAACAATATTTCCAAATCAGCTTGACTTTAAAAACAATTCACAACCATTTCATCCCTCCCATAACTATCTGAACACATAGAGAATGATCTTACCCAAGCCAGAAGTTACATGTAACAAATCTACTGTTAGTACTATTTACAACTTCACGCTGCATATAAATGAATAAGTTTTTGCTAATAAAAGTGTACTACCCTTTAACAAATATCCATTGCTTTTCAGGTTATAAAAATCAGTTTCAAATTTCCTAAAATCTATTTATTTCAATTTAATTCAACCAATATTTGCAAGTTTTTTAAATGAGAAACTTGGTTTAAATAAACACCTTGTATATATTTTATAATGCACACTGTGTAAACTGTATTACAAATCCAGAGTAAGATATGATATAAATGTTTTCAAAAAACAAAATTAAGGAATTTGACAAAGAGTCACTCTGATAGCAAAACGTTTTCATTTTAAACATGTAATATTTCACTTTGTTGGTTAAAGATTTTCACGACGTTAGAATATATTGCTTAACACATGTCTAGTAGCAGAGAATTTAACACTCTAAATAAACTATCACATATTTCATCTAAAACTGTACAAGTCTATACACAAACACAAACAACACTCCGTTTTGTTACAATGTCCTTAAAAATGCTGAAAACACACTTGTTTTAGTAGTGTGCAATAATGAACTACATAACAGCACTATAGTTATCGACCGATATTCCTTATATTGGACCTGGCCAGCTTCAGTAATGTCCCTACCTGAATGTAAGGAAATCCCTCGATGTAATGGAATTCCAATTGGAAAGCATAAAAAGCACTGGAATGTAAAAAATCTTTAAAAAGAATATTTTCTTCATTCCTGCAACGCTTTTTAAAGAAAAAACTAAAAAGAATTTCTTTAGGTTCTTTAGGAGGTTAATTACGCACATTTATGAAACTAGGGCCAGATACCAGTAATTTAATGCCAGAAAGTATGCCAATATCAGAAACTAAAACAAGTATGCTTTCAGCATTCATCTTCTTCTGTTTTCCTCCCTTTACTTGGCATTTCTTGTGCTGCCTATTCTAGGACTCGAGCTATCTATAAGAACTCCTTAACATAAATTGCACTATTACACATAAAAATGCATAAAACATAAAGAGCAATAACCAAAGAAGCTGTGAAAAGGAAATTATTGTATAAAATAAAAATTTGCATAATTTACAATCATTTGTTACTGATTTGCAACGTTTACAAAACCTTACATTACGTTTCAAAATGGAAGCAGTCCACATCCCCCAGCCATTGTATGACACACTGATCACAGTTCTATACTGCTTTAATCGCCATAGTAACTACCAGGAAATATTATATAGAACATTTACGCAATAATTTAAGGTTTGATTATATGAGCGTATGGAGATAAAAACAACTTGAATTTGACAGTGTTCATCTTTATGTTATAGATGAGAAAGAGATAATCCCCCCCGACAGATCAAAAAACATTTATATTGATCATACATAAAACACCATCCTTCTTTTAAAGCTGTATTTGCAAAGGTGAGCAATGTCTGTCACGGACACAGTTACACGCTGTCATTTAATCTCAGGAAATATGTGTGACTTCATTAATACCCACACTTCATAAAAGAGCGATATAAACGTTGAAATAAATCCAATTGAATTACAGTCTTTGAAATCCAAGGTCACAGGCTGTTCAACAGGTAAGAAAGTTCTGCCTGTCGTCTCAACAGGCTTGCCACTACGTCAGCATGTCTTATAAAGAATTTCATCCGATATCAATGTCATGTTCCGGTCATCTACTGGATCGAGATAACAAGAAATATCCATACTATCAGTGCTGCAGAATACTGTAAAAGCGTCCACTCTCTTGGTCCCAGCTGCCCTGATACCACAGTCTGTCTGTCTGTCTCACCCAGAGGAGAGTATTGCAAAGGGGGACAACTCCTGAATTTAACTTGCGACAGCAGTGTCCACAATGGTATCAGCTTCCTGTGCCACTTTCTTGGCGATCAGGGTTTCATCTACATCTTCAGTTATCTTCAGTTCCTTCAATTTATCTGATGTATCAATCTCCTGCAATTACAGAGCATCAAATACGTTATTAAAATGTTTCAAAACATGTTAAAATATATTTATATATGGACGATTGACTACATTTAGATCAGCTACCGTTTGTGTAACAGCGGGGGGTGCCCATAGAAGTGTCTGCAGTAGCATTCCCTTATGACACCCCTTCCATAAACGTCTACGGCTAGCACACTCGCACACTTCAACACTGTGATGGTGAGCAATCAAACAAGGAAGACGATGAATGTAGAAATAGTAGGAAGCGCAAATAAAAAGAAATTGCTTCTGGATGAAAACACAATGACTGTCTATTATAATGAATATCTTTAAGATGCATGGACATGAATGACTGTCTTCAACAATTAATTTCACATTTTTATATATATAAATGCTTTCTTTCATATCATCACATTTTTTTTATATAAATCATTTCTTTTATTTTAATTATATGAAAGACTTTATTAAACAATTACACTATCTTAGAAACTTGTTGGCAATTATGAATTAGACATGTTTTATAGTTTATTTGAATTAGTATCCTTACTATACTAGATGAGACATGAAAAGATAGATGTTATTGTCAGGAAGTTCTGTGCTATTATAGATATTAGGTGAGAAAAACGACCATATATGACAAAATTAAATACAATAATCATTATGTGTATATATAAATTGTATATATACAGTATTTGGGGGATCATGCACAGACCTTATTTCAAAATTATTCTGATTAAACAGAAATTAACTCATTAGATAAGCCAAGCTTTCAAACCTCCAAAGACCTGTCTGAATTGTACACGTAGCTACGAATACTGATATAGGTTTCAAAATCTCTGCGTGAATGCTTACATAAATGACCTCCCAAAGCCAATTGATATCCTTCACACATATCAATTACAACTCATTAAGATTTGAACCACACATACAAGGAGAACATAATAGCCACTTGATCTTGCTAAAGTTAGTATATGAAGCAACACAAAATATGATTTAACACAAGAGAAACTCAAAATACTCAGGTGAAACAATGAAAGTATTCTACGAAGAAAATTAAAATGATACTAGGTAAGAACTAAACAGTGGATGGAATGTTAAAACGAGGAAATGTTAATCACAGTACCACCTCCACCACAAAAAAAACAACACTCGAGGCACCAGACAGCGCGGAGATTAGTGCTATGGTGGGATGTCATAAGAGAAAGTACAACGGACGCCTCTCACCTCCACACCTGGCTGTGTCGCTTTCGTGTCGTCGTCTATGTTATTTACTGTAGGTGTAAAAATGTCATGTCAATTTGTTTGGTGTAGGAGATGCCCAATAGGTTAATACAATATATCGTTATTGGGTTTACAGGTTCTCTGTGTTTCTTTATTCAAATGATCACATTACAAGTGATTTCAAAACAGTTTAAATTCTTTTATGTTACGATCAGGTTGACCGATTTAAAAAAAATTGTAACAAATATAAAGTGTGCATATTTACAGTAACATTTTTCTATGGGCCCAGATGCTCAAAGTAACACAATCCAATACAGGAGTTTCATCTGTTGACACTTTATACTAGAACAGTTTTCACTCAAGTTTATGTTTTGCATTTTCTGCCCTCCATAAAGTGCATAACATACTATATATAGTCAGTTATGGTCATTGCATGTGAAGGGCGAAGCTAACGCTGGGTGGATATGGATTTTACCAATAAAAGGTGAATTTTTCCCTGGGCTAAAGTTTCCCAGTATACAGCTCAAAAGATGGATGCACAAAACTTGCATCATTTTGATCATATGAAGACAGAAATTAATTTCATATATTTTCAGTTATTTATTTCTCATGAATTGCATTTTGAAAACTTGTGTCAATGGCCTATAAATTCAATTACACTTTGAACAACTGGGCCCTGATGAATGATGAAACAAATAAAATACTATTTTTTTGATTTTATTTTTATAAACATGAATTATAATTTAATCTCAGTTTATTACAAAATATTTCACTTTTCAAGTTTTGTGAACTTTTCAATGAAAAACAGAAAATATTTCACAGTTACACTTAGATCTATTACATAATATAAAAAGAACATTTAATCATGAAAGATCAATTAATCTAATAAAAAAAACAAATTATTTATGAACAAATACCTTGTGTGGTAATCTCCTCTGTGGTTGAAGATGAAACGGTGGTTAGGGTTTCCACGACAGAGGATGCGGTGTGTGACACCTCAGCCACTGTTGTGGTTGTCGTCTCGACAACAGAACTGGAGTGGACCTCAGAGGTCACTTCACTGGACAGCGTCTCCATACTGCAATTGAAGGTCAAATTCAGAAGTTGTAACTAATTAATCGCTAAATCTACACAAATCTTCACAAACTTTCAAATAAATATCATTTAGCTTTTAAAAAATATAATTCCAATTATTCAGTTTAAAATAAATATTAAGTAGTGAAGAAAAGTTTAATGATTACAAAAATATTTTAACAATGAGATATGAATGTATGTTAGGCCAAACAAAAATATTTTTTGTTTCCCCTACCTACCCTGAACTTTTTTAGGCAATTTTCAAAGAAACACTGTTATAAAGTCAAGATCACTCTCCTGTATAACCATATTTTTTTTCATTTTAAATTTGTTACCTACCCTAAATGTTTCCAACGCATATTTTTTTTGTCTGGCCTTATAGCAAAGACCTATAAGTTTTTAAAATTTGATTTGGGAACCTCTGTGCTGTTTCAACAGTTTCATATATCTGCACTAACATAGATATTCAATATAAAATAAAACTACAAAGGTCTTTTCCACAAATAAATACATATATGGGGATTATTGGAGAGTCTGAGAATAACCCGGAGAAATGCAAAATTGATAATAAACGAGTGATGGGGTCTTAAATAATTAGTATAATATATTCCAGGAAGCATTCTGGCAGTGTTCCAAGCCAAAACCGCACCTTCATATATCTATTTATATTTCTGGAATAGCCCTTACTGAAAGCGATATACTTTTCAAAATCTTCAGAGTTCAACCTTATATTCATACAGTAAAATTATGCACAATACAAAGTTCAGTTATGAAAAGTTTGCCGAAAATAAGCAGGAACCATCTTAATCTAAATTTCTTATTCAAGCACATACAGAAAACTACTATGCAGTTAGTACAAGTACTGAAAACGAGTTCAACAGCTGCTGTCAGTAGCTAACAGGATACAGTGCAAATCGATATACAACTAGCAATACAAGTTAATTTGTGTGTAGCACTAAAAAGCAAAGGTCATCTTCATATGAGAAATGACAGACAGTGATACAGTGTGCATCTGACGAAACCTGTAGTATATATGTTAGAGGCTTTTGTATGATTTCTATTCAGAGTGCCAGGAAACTGTGATACACACACATTTTTGGAAAGTTTATTCCAAACAGTATGTCAAGCAAGACCTCATTGTCCTTTGCAAAGCAGAAACGTGCAGAAAAACACAAAAAGCAGAGAGAAAACAACAGTTGAATCTGATGAATTTAAACTTCCAGAATTACAGCACAGTAATTCTATATTTCTTGTGACATTTACTGAAAGGCTGATTGAAAACTACCCAACAACAAAAGATTACTTTAACATGCAAACTAGCACTTCTGTAGGAGAGGACGAATTGCAGAAGACGGTTAAGCTGTAAAAGCCCATGCCGATTGCCTATGTGTGTTAGTGGTTAGTAGGGATACTAACACTTGTATACTGTCTTGTGTTATCTCCCCTTCTATTGTGGTATCTGCCCGCGAGTCGTTCATCAACATAGAGTCGCTGAGAGCCTCAGCGATGTCTCCACTGTTGTACTGCTGTTGACTCGCTAGATTCTGGCCCTCTCTACAACACCACAAAACACAGGTCACCTCACCGCCCATCACACTACTTGGTCCAATCGTATTGTGGCAAACCTGGTCTACATTTCCCAGTTTTGTACATACCCAACACAACTCCAAAGCATATTTGTGGTGAAAACTATAGCTATGTACGTACCTCCCAGAGGAACCATTTATATCACTTTAGGAAAATCATAAAAAACTAATTGTTCCATAATTGTCAAGACATTTTGATGTTTAAATATGCCAGTGTTGTATGTAACTTTGAGCTANCAAAACTTAATTTCTCAAAAACAGCCATTGAGATGGCGTATACACATTTCAGTCAGTGCAGCAGTGTTGCATTGCAACAATGTATCTTGGCACCATCAGTACAGAGTGTTCATGTGTATTGGTTTGCATGTGGCAAAGGGATAAAAGATGGAATATAAATACCCTTGTTTATAAAAAGCAATTATCAGCATATATATTCTTTCTTAGACATCTGAGAAAAAATACCTACCTTATGTTATTTTCAATTCAAAGATAACATTAGGCTTATATAAAAAATATTTTGTATTCCCCACCCCCCCATATTGTCCTATCAATTTTTCCAGAGTAATGAAACAAAGACCTACCCTTGTTTTTCCTCTTCCTGTGTTGTTTGACCTTCAGCAGCGCCCTCTGCAGCTTCAGCCACAGGAGCAACTTGTAAAACTGGTTCTGGTTCTGGTTCTGGTTCAGGTTCAGGTTCGGGTCTCATGCCCTCCTTTAACTCTACATCACAATTAGAATCCGCCACATACCGTGATGACAGTGTTACACGGATATATTCTGACGGGGAGTTCAAGAAAAAGCCCTGGCCTTGCTTTGTAAAGGTAAACGATGAAATACCACTGCAAAACGATAAAGATTCATCATCAATATACATAGAACTATATCAATAACACTGCAGACTATTCTGTTCCAATTACAAATGAAAACGTTCCTTTCAGAAAGGGAGCATTATTCTTTATTAAATAGTTCAATGAATTGACGGATGAATGGTCGCGATCACAGACCTTGACCAATCAGAAATAGAAAGAAATATCACCCTAGGAAAAAGGATTTGACTTCTTACTTGATATCTTCTCTGCGTAGGGCTGAAGCCATTAATTGTTCCCGTAGTGTTGTGATGGAGTATACACTCAGGTCTCCTTGGTTACTAAGGCAGGCAATGTCATTTTCGGTGTAATTCTCATCTGAAATGTCAATCACACAATATCAGCACATTACAAACCGTGTTTATAACTTCACATTGAATTGTTTACGTGCATTTTCAAACTTTTAGGAAATTTGTGAGAAATTAAATATGTATATTTATCAGTCAAGAGTTGTTCCAATAATGCACATGGCTTACCGCTTCTGCTTCTAAATGTGACAAAAGCCACTTTGCGGATTCGGGAGCCGTGGATAGCGGTGAGTTTGAACTTCGACTTAGCCTTCAGCTGGGGTAGTGAGAAGATCTGCAAACAGGACAGACACATTAGCAGGTTGTTCATCAAAGTAAATACATGTTTTATAAAGTTCAATATAATATTAAATCTAATATTATGTAAATCAAGCAAATATCGAGCATCAACATGGAGTGAGCAATGAAAAATTATTACTATTTAGCTTTTTTACATGTACTTTTATGAAAATATGTTCAATAATCATGTTAAACAATGGGATTGACAATTTAATGTTATATGCTATCTTTCACCTTATAAACTGTGGTAGAATTATCTCCCTTGAAAAGAATTGCGAATTTCCTTAGTATTATTGATGAATGCATTATTACAAACTTCAGAATGTTATATACTAATCCAAATTAGATCTCTCCTAGTAAGAAGCTGTTCTGGAAAGATTCAGGCCAAAATAAGATAGATTCTTCCTTAACACAATATTAATGACAATATAAAAATACACATCACACAGATGATTAATAATTGCCGGCACCTCATAAACCTTCTTATTTGTGTTAGTATGTTCTACGCACCTTGAGCTGCTCCTCGGAGCAAATAACCACGGAATGCTGGCCTGACATTTCTGGAGCCTTGGCTCGCTCATGCTGAACCTCTAGTGGGTCGGGAAGGCTTCGGGCCCGGCTGTCGACCACACCAATGGAAATAACTGGGGCTTTGTGACGAAGCTTGATTTCCTTTGCTAGTACGGATGTGACATCAGTCTCTGACCTCTTCTCTGTCGGTACACTTATGCTGTATATGTAGACATGTCCGCCATTTGTGCCAACCCAGAGTGACGGTGTGTTTCCAGCACCTAAAATAGAAAGAAAATTAGATTACATTACGTAACAATTAAGACTAGTCTAGTTCTGACACAAATAGTACCTAATCAAACCAAAGTGATATAATAGGTTCACTTAGTTTTAGCATAATTTTCAAGAGTGACAACTTATAGGAATATGCAAATAATTAAAATCCAGGTCCAATAGAAGACAGCACAATTTCTAACGTCTCTAGCTGTATGGAGAGCGACATCATCGATCAGAAATACAGATGTACCTAGAATATAGCTAAACCAGCTTACCATGTGTGATGAATGTGTCTGCGAAGTACAGACACCTGACCATGGAGGCCATGGAGTCCTCCGTGCTGCGAGCTTCAACTGCTCGCTCCACCGGGCGCGGCTCGGGGGATGCTGCCGGAGATGTTCGACTGGTGGCACCTTCTGCTTGGGTCTCCTCTATACCTGTGGTCTTTTCCTCACTAAAACATATACCATATTACGTCAAGTTACAAACATGTCTAAACAATGACTGCGTATCTTTCTTAATGAAGTTACCTGTATCTTTTAACTACAAATGAGGGTATTTTAATATAAACATTCCATAAATAGTAAGTTTTGCAGTATTGACACCTCCTCAATGTCTTACATATACCCCATAAAGGTGAATGTACTCAGCAACATTTTACCCCACAATTTATAGTACTGTATTCATGCTTTCGTATGTCCCACTGACAAATTTATTCCAGTCGATGTATCTTCCTCACAAATTCACCTCCAAATGCAAACACTTGTACAGCAAACAGAAAAACTGTTACACATGTAATCAAGCTGAACAGTTACTAACGTTTTCTCATCTTTCTTTGGTTTCTCGCGCCTCTGTGAACGTCCCCGTCGCAGCTTACGGAATGATTCTCTCAAGGACTTCTTTAGGGACTTTCTCCTGGACATAGGTGTGTCTGATGTTCCAGTCATGTCTGTAAAACAAGTGATTAGTAATAATTACTGATGAACGCTATCAATCTAGAATCTTATAAATTTTGTATTATGTGTGATGATTTTACAGAAGTTGTGCTTGTCAATAATCACTTCTTTGTTACAAATTTCACATCAAACTTTGCCATATACGAAACCACTCTTTTATTCCAAATGAAGATCAATATAGCTTCTGGCTGTTTAATACAGTTATGATCTATTATACACTTTATAATATGCAAACGAAAAGAAACTAGTACTGTAAATAGTAATATGTCAGTATGTTAACTTTTCATCCTTAGAGGTTTAATTTACAAAGACAAAAGCCGTAAAATAGAATGGGGCAAAAATGTCTGATGTTGCTGTGTTTCTTGATCAAAGTTTACAAACCTGTAGGGTTAAGTGTACAGCGGACCAACACTTCCTTCTTCTGAGAGTAATCAAACAGACCGAAGCCATGGGCTGTACCAGCTGCCACTCTGTAAGGTAAAAAGTTCCAACGTGTACATCAACTACTGATTTTGGCCATTGATTATTATCCACTTGTGATTGAGGGGCAGGAGACAATCAACCAAGGTTTCGCATATAACATTTGATGGGTGATGAGATCAATCATCATCATTGAATTAATATTGGGAGAAGTAGAATATGAATAGCAGTAAATTTAGTTTATAACTGGTGTTATATGCAAACGTATTAACAGAACTGTTAACTGAAAATCATCTATCTGTTTATACACAGAAAACCTGTCTAGTTTATCTTCTGGGCATTCCTATTTCTTTTAAAACCCACCTAATATTCTCAGTGTATTCAGTCATCCAGTCTCATCCAAGCAATGTGTAAACCCATTCACCCCTAATGTCACATTTGAACCTTACCAATCATAGACTGGGCAAGTCCAGTTTATGTTTGTAGGGGTGAAGAAGTTAAATGCCACGGTGCAAAGACAGTTTTCACAGCACCTTGTTAGGCTTTGAGTTAATCAAAGAAACAGACAAATAGTTTCTCTTTTTGTGTTTTAACAAGTTAATATCATATATCTTTTGAAGTAACACAAAATTTAAGTTATGAACACTACAGATATTTCACTGATAACATACTGGTTTGAAAATTATATAACCCAAATTAAAATTATAAATAATTTATCATAACAGATAATTCAGGTGTATAACTTACAGCTGCCATTCCGAGTTGAAGGCCAGAGCAGTACACGCAGCTGGAGGGTACACCTGCATTACACTTGTAGGTTGGAATCCTGCAGCAAATTTTACATCTCCTTCCCGTTGGGGTAGGGCCTCGTGGCCCTTCCAGACAAAACTGTCGCGGTCACTCACAATGTTGACCTTAACCGTCTCTATCTCATGTTCACGTTCTTCTCGCTCCATCTGTAGGATGACCACTTGACCAGCTGTGCCTGCAATAACCAGCGTCTCGCTGAGTGGACAAAGCGACATTTTCTGTATTCCGAGTCTTGGGTCATCGCTGAATGGGTCGTAGTTACCAACCTAATGGTGCAAAATAACCGGTCAATATTGTTAGTTATGTTATACCTAATGTTGGGATGCTTGTTTTTGTCAATCACAAGTTAAGTTAAAGGTTTAAGATCCATTTATTTGAAAAGCAAATATTGACACAGCTATATCCAGTAAGGAATATATTCTTGGTCAAATGTAAATGGTCCTTTATTTCATAATTGTCAATAATAAATTAATAATTTTACTATTTTCAATTGTCAATACAAATTACAGCCCTGAATAAATCACAACATCAGGTTAATTGTTGACTTTATAATAAATGTTTTTAAGTTTTCCCTTAAAGAACACAGCTCTGGCCTTTCTTGTAACCATATATTTCAGTAAATTCGCAGATGACCTTGTGTGAAAAAATTCTGATTTTTTTTCAAATATTCATATTTTATAACTGTTGAATAAGTAAACAGAGGCAACTCCAAACAATAAACATTCTCGAAAATTCATAATGTTTCGTGATGTTTTCTTGTGCTCTTCGCCAGGGCTTTTAGAACTCAAAGTGTCTGCGAAACATTTTTGCAAGCATTCCAGAATGTTTTCAATTCTCAAATTATTTCAGAATTGTACATGCTATATAAACTTACCTTCCTAAAGGGAGGCCACTCCTCCTCAACTTCACCATTGCTGTCACCACCAGCATGGATGTCCACGTTAAATATACTGCATGTGGACAGTTTGTACAGCATCTTCATCGAGGTACCAGATGCATCCCAGAATTTCACTGTACCATCTTCATGACTGAAAAACCAAAGGATTTCGATGAAATATTAATTAGGATGAGTCTAGAGTAATGAAAAGGTTTTAGATGAGCTGAGTCATAAAATATCATTGTTACGCGATATCTTTCTGAAATCATGTACCTCAGTTTATAGGCAAATTGTAATTAACTTGAGACATCTAGAAACATATTGTTTAACCCTAAGTACATTCGCCCCTTTCTAAAAAAAAAACTCAATTTTGTTTTGTTATTACAAAAGTTCTGAAGTTTTTCTTGAGGCAAAAACATTGTTATTATGATATCCAAAATTGTATATTGGGCCAAGATTTGACTGTGACCCAAGAGAACATCGATCAAGCAAGTACACAAAACTGATTCTTCAATTAATTTACATACTATTATCAAGAAAGCATAGGATCTTGAAGGAATTGTATTTCCTAGTTAACCTCTTACAATGTATCACTAACTTGTAATAGAATTGACATTTATACCTATACATTTCTGGCTCTATCCCTACCCTCAGTTACAACTTACCCAGTCAACATCAAGTCTTTGGTCGACCCTTCTGCTCCCTCAAGTTTTCCACCATTTATCGGCCAGTCCTGAAAAACAGTTTGATAAATTTGTAAGATTCGAAACCAAGGTGTAATATACTGCTAAATCAAAGCTTTTTTTACAGGAACAATTACAAAAGTTTCCCTAACATGGAAAATCTAGTAAAAATGAAGGGCAATACTTCATAATAGTAAAATTCCATCAACATTACCGAAAAATCAAATCTGTAAAAATTTGAACAAAACTTTTCTAACGCTATCTCAGTTGTGGGTCAGCTGAACAGAATGTTCTGTGGCTAATCTTCAATGGTGCTGTGGACACTAAATTAGTGCCATATCTATGATTTATTTAAAAAATAGATTTTTATGTTCCTGATCGACTTACTCTCTTTGACAGGCTTTCCATCTGAGCTTCTCCGGCATCCACGATTTTCTGCCAGAGTTGGTTGGGGATGTTACCGATGTGCTGGGAACAGGTAATGGCAGAACAGTGCAAGCTGTTCATGTAGGGCAGGCGGAACGTTGGCCAGTTGTTGGAGTCCAGGTCAATAAGGACAATCTCCTCCTCGGCCAGTACAACCAATGTGTGGGGCTCATCATTCTCTGTAACAAAATGTAAGGTGAGTCTTTGGGTGTCTTCTACCATAGCATGGGTTAGGGTAATAGGTTAGATTTTGATGGGGAAAACTTGGGGATTTCATTTCGCATTTTTGTGAAGACTATTGTAGTTTTACTTAATCTAAGTCACTGGGCAATAGAAAACAAGAGGAAGGGATAAAAATACATGTGTGCCAAACAATATGTAAACAATTTATCATACAAGCTACTGCATAACATTAAGACACGAGTAATTTGGGTGAATTGGAGTTATAAATGACATAGGGTCTGGACACCAAGGCTTATATTTAACATCATTGCAATGCAAAAAGAACATATCAAACATCTAATTGGAATACTGGAATTTCTTATAGTTTTTTTGGGCAAAGTACAAGATTCTATCAAATCTACCTGAATCATAACTACATACCATCTCTATCCTCACTGGTATCGTTCTCATCAGCCCGTGAGAGGGTCAGAAAATCAACCACTTTGGAAGTGAAGTCAAACACAATGTGGTTGTTAGAATTCTCCTGCATCACGCTGATGGTGTGACGGTCTCCGTAACTAGCCCTCGGCATCCCACCAGAGAATATGATGAATGGATCACTGGAAAAATTAGCAATAACATTAATTACTCTGAAAGTTCCAACACACTGGATCATTTGGATACCAAATATTTGTTTTATGAAATGAAATAAGTTTTGAAAATGATGCATAAATATTCCAGTTGCAAAATAGTCAGAAAACGCGACTCTTAAAAACCTATTCAATTGAATCTACACATATAATATCAATCAATCTTGTACATTGAGTGATGTTTATTTCAGTATAAGTGGGAGATACTGCTGACTCACCATAACACTAATGCTTACCTCTTTGCCGTCTTCCAGCAGATCTTGCTGATGGCCTTGCATGGGAACGGACCTGTTAAAATTATAATATAATATTTTGAAAATAAAGTAAAAACATGACTTTTCTATTCACCTTAGCTACATTTATTCAATAGGTTCTTTGTTAACAGGTAATCCTCCCCGATGATGTATAATGTTGTGGGAGTAAGCACCATATGCAATGATGCATCATTTTTTTATATGTATGCTACTTAGATGAATATCCATTACCAGGTGCAGTTTAACCAATATTTTTACAATAAAATTTTATTTAAAAGCTTATAATTAATTTACCCCTAAAACCACATTTGAACTCTTCCAATTCAAAAGTTGGAATAGTTAATTATGAAATTTCAGGGATGAACGAGTTAAATCTACCAGGTATGTATTGATGTAAAATAGCTCAGTTTTATAGTAGCAAATTTTATTTTCCGATTTTTTTTATGCACGGATAAATCTGTGTATTATCGAATATAACACAATATACACAACAAAAATGTAAGCGAGTTTAACTAGACATGCTGAAATCTGTTGCCACATTTCTCTTTTACACTAAATCAATACTTCTATCACAGGAATAGACATTCTGTAACGTTGTTTTAACACTCTACGGTGAAACAAGATATATTCTATGTGTGGAACAGCCCGCCAATGCATTGTTGGGGGGTGACAGCAGTCAGTGATACTATGTGTTATATCACTACTGTATACTCTGTGCAGCTAACTGTGAAGAGGTTTTATTTATTAATCGGTTCAGGAATGGGAGGTCCTGTGAATTGTGATAGCATACATGTAGTTCTATCATGAATATTTTCAGAAAAGTATATATACATGTATCTATTATTTATAAATCTTGGTAAAAGAAAACCTGAAGTACCCAATGTAACACTAAATGACACAATATATTTGTTCATATTAGACAGGATGTCGGAGTCTACAGGTTTAAATGGATAGTTTGAATAAAATATTTTGTTGGACTTGACCGGGTGTCACGAAACTCAAGGGTCCTGTTAGAGTTGTTTTACTGCATACTACTTTTTCAAAGTCCATGTCAAATATAGGTTACACAAGAAAGTACAGTGTTTCCATGATATTTCTTGTATACAGCGCATACACAACCACCTCATAACTTCAGGGATGTACATTTTCCCATTTAGAGTACTAGCCTATAGCCAGATGTTGAAAAGTCAACTAGCCTATCTATATTTTCATAATATATGTAAACATTTTTTTACTAGTTCTGACACAATCTTCTAACCCCAGGCATCAGACTAGTGGAATTGTATACCCCTGTAATTGACCATGCTTTTATTTATTCATGAGTTACTTAATTTTCTAAATGCTGACATATCTTCAGCATCACATGTAATCAGAAATCAGAGTGATTGTATACAGGTTCATATGAACAAGCCTGTATGATTATCTTGCATGTCAGACAACAGTTAAAACCATCTGATGACCTTGTCAATCCCTAAAGACTGTAGTGACAGACAGACCCAAACGTCACACAGACATAGATCTCTTGTCTCGCGGACAACTTCATTTCACATTCCAGCCGTCTTTATTTCATTTAAACAAACACTTTTTAACAAAGAGAGCCGTGGTTTGAGAGACTGACAAAAAAAGATCTATTGAAACGTAACTGTTATTGTCACACTGCTGATTCACCAATGTAAGGTAAAACACTGCACTCAGAGTATACCACCTGCGGTCAGACCTTGTCAGATAAAAACACTGCACCAGACCTTGTGCGTACCCAGAGTCTGTCCTACTTGAGTAAATCACAACTGAATTTGTTTGCCTTCCTAAATTTACAGAAAAGCCTGTTTACTAACAGCAATTCCTAGTGTAATCTAACACTTATATGTCTCGCCCCGTTACAATAAGAAGGTTATGTACTTTCAACTTCAAGCTTTGAATTACCCCCAAAAGTCGTTTTAATATGTGCATTTCCTTTCATCCAATGCAAATGCTGTACTGCGATACTATACTTCCAATAATTTAACACTTATAACCCTTTTTAGCATGCATCATTGTCAGACTATAATGTAAGGCGTCAATACTGAGTCATACAGTTATTGTAAAACTTACACAGCCAATCTGGAACATTCATTAAAAAAACATGACATATTCCATTAACTTAATTACCTTAAAATAATTCTTCGACTTCTATCTAAATTTTGATCTCCAAACCTTTTTTGAATCTTCTTGAAATAGATCTTATTCTATCACTTAATTTGCTAAAAAATATTTCATTATGTGCACAATTTTAATAAACCGCTTTTTCTTCCCTTCTTTTCTTGATCAATAAAATCAATAGAATTTTTTTAATCTGTATCATTGTAAAAGAATTTTCATAAGGATTCAACTATCTCTGCGTATAATTGCAAAATACAAATTCAACTGACAGAACATGTATTGGTTTACAACATTCTCAGCGACAAGTTATTCACCCGATAACGATTGTTAGACAACATGATTAAAATTCCAAGATCAAATTATTGAAACGACTTGCCAACAATTCACAGCTATTTGAAAATTACATGCAAATTTTCCAATCAACTCATTTTTGGAATGCAGTACCAATTAAAATCCAAACCCGAGAGCTTCCATTACAGGCGAAGGGATTAAGTATTCCCCAACGCAATGACCTGATATTTTGTCTACAAATGTTGGTGTGCACTCATTGTAAATTCAGAAAATATCATAAAACAATGATAAAATTGAAGTATCAATTTAAAATATTCATTTGTCGAACATAGCTTGCAGTGGAGGACAATGAAGTTTATTTGTGTAACATCAATGTTCTTCGTTAACTCCGGATTCCTTTGATTGGCATAATGAGCAATCATTTGGATAGCGTGTTGAATGTTATTACTTGAAAATTTTCTCCCGGCTGATTAAAATCAATTACTATCAAAGAAAAGCCCTCAAACCAAGAAGCCATGCCCGCCCACTGGGCATAAAATCACAATAGACACGGGATCATTCACAAAAAAATAAAACGCATCGACTACACAACTACAAATGTTTAACATCTCCAGGTATGGGGATTTAAACAGGACAGGCTGTCAGTATTGTCAGTCAAGCATGTCTGTATGGCCACACCATCTACCTAGATGTTCAGATGAGCTGGTGTCGCGTTACACACCTGTCATCAGGTATAGACCACCAAATGCCTACATCGGTTATAAAGGGTCGGAAGAAAACTGCCTAAATCTACAACCAAGCTATGAAGGGTTGGGATAAAACTGCCAAAACCTACAACCAAGCTACGAAGGGTTGGGATAAAACTGCCTAAATCTACAACCAAGCTACGAAGGGTTGGGATAAAACTGCCTACATACAAACAAAAATTACAACATCGAGAAACTTGTGCTTTATTTGAAATGCATTGCATTTGATTAACATTCTAATGCATGTCAAAAGTTCAACTTTTTGTTTCCCTATAGACCACTTACTGAAACTAGTTACAATAAATATGTAGTAAATGCAGTAAGTACTTGTACAACACAAATGATTCTGTTTTTCACATGTCTGTTAAGAGGACACTACAAAGAAACAACATCTATGGTTGTGTATCATATTTGCATATTTATTATAATTGTAGTTTCATTTTATAATAACACACGGTGTTAAATTATGAATAATAAAATCAAGTGTATTTTTCATATTCGTAAAATGATACGGTAGTAAGAATGTAGTGTCTGCTTTAAATACTACAGACCAGTGTCATTTGTATCCTATAATTTTAAACCACTTAAACATATCTCAAAAGACTCCAATTTTCAAAAATGTTGTTATTGCATGGATGAAAGGGTTCCAAACATTTTTTATGACCAAAATTATTTAAAGGAAGAGTCAGGTTTTTCAAAGAGAAAATGCAGTGGGTGTCATCAGTTTCAAAGCTATCATATTTACAGCTGACTTTTGACGTGTTATATTCTAGTTACTGGGATCCCTATATACCACAGGTATCGGGAAGTTAATAGTATGTGTACGTTATTTGAGTCGTGAAACTTACCGTAGGGGGTAAGGGCAGCTTCCTTGGGTTCCGAGGAGTCGGTTGACTTCCACTTGATGTAGCTACCGTCGATGTGGGCGCTGATGAACTCAGAACCATTCCTGTGCCAGGCTACGGACTCAAGTTGCTGTGAATGTACAACATGCTTTTATTATACAATCAAAGTTTAATAACTTGTCTAAAATATAATGACAGTAACTAAATCAAATTTCACTTTGCAATAACCATTTCTGCTAATGTGACAGTTTTATTTATAGAAGACAAAGTCCTTAAAAAGAATCGTTTAAAAACTTTTCGGTTAGAAAAAAATTAAAGAGCACTCCGAGAACTACTTTTTTTAACCGTGATAAAATGAAGTTGAGATGCAGTGAAGATGTGGAAACATGGTTGTCTGTCGTTTTTTCTAGCCTATCCAATTTGATATTGAATCCAGCAGAGAACTGAATGACACGAGTAACTGCCAGAGAATAGACCTACAAGGAAAACTAAAGGGCCCAAAATCATTTGGCTAACACCAGTGACGGTGGATTAAGTAGTGATAGAGAACTTAACTGTTACGAAGAGAAACAAGTAACACAGGATATTGTACAGAGGATTATTGCAGCCTGATTTGCGGGACGTCTAGATAAAGGAAGAGTTGTGTGATTAGTGTCTCACCTGTGTAGCATTGTAGGTCTGGTCAGCATTGCACTCCTTGTTGTCCCACAGCACGATCAACCCTCTATTGTAGCCGATCAGGAACTGTTGACAAAATACAACATATTTATAATCTTACTATTCACCCCTCTATTGTAGCCGATCAGGAACTGTTGACAAAATACAACATATTTATAATCTTCCTATTCAACCCTCTATTGTAGCCGATCAGGAACTGTTGACAAAATACAACATATTTATAATCTTACGATTCAACCCTCTATTGTAGCCGATCAGGAACTGTTGCCAAAATACAACATATTTATAATCTTACTATTCACCCCTCTATTGTAGCCGATCAGGAACTGTTGACAAAATACAACATATTTATAATCTTAATATTCAACCCTCTATTGAGCTGATCAGGAACTGTTGACAAAATACAACATATTTATAATCTTAATATTCAACCCTCTATTGTAGCTGATCAGGAACTGTTGACAAAATACAACATATTTATAATCTTAATATTCAACCCTCTATTGTAGCCGAACAGGAACTGTTGACATACACAACACATAATATATCTTGATATTCATAATTAACATAAGTATAACCTGATTGCTGTTTTATGCAGTGAAAACAGCCATGTGATATCAATTTTGCAACCACAACTTGTATCACCTATTTCAAGATGAGAATTAAAACATTCCACAGAATGACAACAAGGCAGACTTGATGACAGCAGATTAAAGGTATCTAAGTTTTTAAACATGTTACAGGAAACACACCTATTTATTTTTGGAAGGCCTGATTAACTTTTAATATAAATTGAAGTATTACATAAAATTGAAAAATAACACTGCACACCTAACATATACCAATCAAATGTATTAAAGCAGGATGTTTCGACACTGCTCACTTTAATCTTGCACACAAAACCACTATACGGAATGCTAATTTGTGTGTGCACACCGGATTATACAAGCACTGGCATGGGGTAATCAATATTTATGACAGAAATATTCCCAATATTTCCTAACCAAACAAACAGAAATTGAATACTAAGGAAATTGCTCCTAGATTGTGTTTATTTTTGGTCTGGCACTAGTATGCGATACGCCTGCCCTAGGGACTGTCTGTGAGGCAATAGTATGCCAGCGATCAACGCTACCTGTTGATACCTGGATGATGAGGCTGACATCAAAGCTGACTACTTTACTGCCCATGATCATGTTTACTCCCTTACAACAATGCCTGGTGGCCCGATTTCAGGTTAACAGTAAAATTTCATACCGTTTAATTCCGAAATGAGAAATAAAGATTCAGGGCTTTGCAAAACCAAGAAGAACCAGTAGGGACGTTGTTTATACACATCAAGCTCCCACAAAATAAATGTTAAATATTCAACACAGAACATAATCCTCAGAACTTCATCACAGAATTTTCATGGCTCAGTCTACAATTTGTTAATGGACAAAAACAAAGTTTCCTTTAATAGAATGATGATCTTACCTTGTCAGGATTTGTGGGGTGGTTAGCAATGGTTTCCACTGCACCAGGGTTTACTTTGAAGTCATCTGGCACACTGCAAATAAATTTCTTTTTTTCAAATTCAAAATTTCACATCAAATTCAAAAGACAACTTATACTAATCATTAAAAATAAAATCAAAAGAATTTTGAAAAAAGAAACGTGTTCTTTCAAGAAGGAACAGAAATTAAATCTGCCTTTTTTATTTATTTCACATTTGCTTTTTCTAAATTTGTATCAATATATATATGTTTAAATGAGATGACATGTGTTGTTAAAATTCACAGAATAGTTAACTGAGCAAATGGCCAATAGCCATGCAAGCCCCAGTCAATATCATTTTGAGAAAATGATAGTCCATCATGGAATGAACAAAAGCTTGCCAAAATACAATGCGACACTCCCATGGGGTTGTTCACCTACTTTTGCATGACAACGTCTTGGTAGACGATCTGCTCCATGAGTTTGAATGTCTGTAGGTTGAGCATGTAGATGTTGCCCTCCTCGGTGCCTATCAACAGACACTTGCCATCCTTTGTCAAACAGCATACTGATATGTTCTTAGGTTTGCTGTAAATAAACAACCACATACAGAGTGTCTATAAATTATAACCAAAACAAGACTACAAGCACAAAATCCCCGATACATATATACGTATATAAGAGATCAGTGTTCTTGTACTAGCCAATAAGATGCACTACATTACATCAATACCAAGTTGTTTATGTATGCAAGACCAAACAATGCAATTGTTGTGTTCTTTCTGTCTTAACCCTTTCACCACTGTAGACCATAATGGACTCGTCCAGATCAATGTATAGTAGAGTCTACCAAAGTTACCTAGGGCTGAAAGGGTTAAACAAATAGGCTAGGAAAAGATAGGATAAACTTTTTTATTTTGCTAAATAATTTTTCAAGATTTGTAGAAAGTGCTTAGCCATAAAATGTCAGGAATGATACTTAAAACTAGGTCAGAGTAGATACAATGTAGCTACAGAAAGCAAAAACAGAATCAAAATTTCTTAGAAAAGGTACAGGGCTGGCTATCCAACTGTTCAGGTTATAAAATTGATACCATACACCTGATATGCATGCTAGGGGCTTAGTCATTCAGGAAAATCATGTTTGCTGAATCATCCAAATCCCCAATAAACAGCAATAACAGAGACCTTTTAATACCTGGTATAAGTTTTATGGATGAGGTGTTTGGACCAGAAATGGGTTGATAGAGCTAGTGCTATGATGCTATTTAATTAGAGATGGGGTGCCCTGACTAGAAATGGATAGAGAGAGCTAAAATAAGAGATGGGGTGCTTATTGTGTTATTTACGGTACCAGGAGTTTGTAACCGACAGGTCAAATCCCGTTCAATTTGGTTTATATATGGTGACTAACATTCTATAAACTCCTCTACGGGGAAAAAATACCCATAAAAGCTTCGGAGGTAATAAAAAAAAAGAACATCAATATATTAAATATTAAACACAGCCGTGGGGTCTCTATCTACACTAAACGGGAAGGGCATTTCCTTTATTATCAGATTACAAAGATCAACACTTTAGATAAGGCTAAGCATAGCAACTCTTATTCTGTTTTATATCATTTAATAACAAAATGTCATTCTGCTGGTATCAACAGTTGCCTAAAGTTTGGTATATATATTTGCCAGACATTGTTTACGATGTTGATGTAACAATGAGACACTGACAAATATGATAATAGGGCTCTTACCCACACATCACATCTGTTTGTAAACATGTCATTCACAAATACTGTACTCGTAAATACTTCACTCAAGTGCAACATGAGGACAAATGATGTTGAATCATTCATGCAATTAGGCTTTAAAAGCCCTCTTCCTGTACAAGGTACTATAAGCTCCTTCCTGTATGCTACTATATTACATAGCTAGTTACCGTGTACAGTACGAAATTAGGAACAGTCCATAATATAACACAAAATTCATTAAATTGACATCATTGTTTGAGATTTTCTGTATTGTATTTAAAATGGAGTCCCTGGGAACAAATAACATACCGTACATTTCATTTCACCTGGGAAATTTAACTTTAACAAAGTACATTACTCCAATTCACAGAGGAACTAAAAAATAATCATCTACCTGGTATACTACACCCTATAGGACCATTAACTAATCAAGTAACCAACTAGAAAGATTGCTGACCTCTGCTGACTTCGAATTTGTCTACACACATCTATTAATACAGATACCGGCCAGCAAAGTTCAAAGTCTGCATTAATGAAGAAAAGCAAGATTCATTGATTTTCACTGAAATAACTTTTGCTGCTGTCTACGATAAATATAACTGTCCACTATTCATTAACATGATCTACAACGACGGCAATCAATTATTGAAATGTTGAGCGTCGATCACACCACGTAGGACTGTTACTCAACTGTGTACAACGTCAGGAAAAGGTTTACGGATTGAGGATAGCCGACTCCAAGAAATTGATTGGTTTTGCATTTTTCAGGCTTTTAACTTGTTATCCGTGATGTTGAAGATACACAAATAGATTGATAATCTACTGTTGGAACATTACCTATAACAGTACAGTAAAACCAGGAAATTAACGACGGCATTACCTGGGGATCTAGGGCCCTATGTGTTTATGGTGATTCGACTTTCAGACCTGATAATGCCTGTCTTATAAAATCAATATCAGTATGTCTACAGATTACCATTTCATCTTCATTCTATTTTACCTCACTAGATACAGAAAAAATCTGAATTCCACCAAGAAATAATGACTTAATGGTCTTGATTTTTATTTCTTTTTCGCTCACATGTATACCAATAAAAATATATATATATTAGGTAGATGCTATTAAGTACAACACAGTAATTAGGAATCCTATATAAATTACACCCAGGCTTCGAACAGTCGATGAGAGCCTGATAAGGCTAACATAAGAAAACTACCGTTTACTGTAACGTTACAGCTTAAAACAAAAGGCTACGTAGGTGTGTATAGGCAAACATTTTTTTAATTTTTGAAAATCATATTCACATAGATTGTAAATATTTCAGAAACTTTCTGCTTCATGTAATGATGTTGTAAAGTTTGCAGAAAGACTTGCAGGAAAGATAAGATTACCAAAAATACATGAATTTCATTATTGACTTTACATCAGGTCAAACTCTTTCATCTCATTTACCCCTAAAGACAGATTTGAACTCTTCCAATACACAGGTTGGAATAGTTAATCATGAAATTTCAGGGGTGAATGAGTAAATAATGACAAAGCTTAAGAATCAGGGTGTCCTTGCCATCAACAGCCTTAACTATACCTAACTATACTTATGTGTAACCTGTTTGTGCAATGTACTGAAAAGTGTGCAAGTGACGATAGTTCCAAAGATAATTATTGATATGGCTATATGAACCCACGCCATCAGTCACTGCACTCTATAACACTGCGTTCAACTAACATCAATAATGGACTCCCAACTTCAATAGCTGTCGGTACTGAATGGGAATTCAAGCTGATATGAAAGAAAATGCAAAGGTTTATCATATTTCATAAAGTTATCGCAAAACAGGAACGATTTCTTTCAAAAAATAAAAACCTGGTGTAGGCTACTGTCAATTAAAATGGATGACGAGACTTTGAGGAACCCTCGCCAACTCACCAACTAAAGATCTGTGTAAGCGCCTCATTGTCTGTGACATCTAGTTAAATGCTGATTACACTCATGAAAAATGTTCACTGCACTGTTAATAAATCTATAAAATAGATAATTTGTTAAGCCCCAACACTCTGACCTGTCCCATATCAGGCAAAATTTCAGTAGGGATGTAAATGCATGAAGATAGAAATATTGAATGCAGTTGTTGTGGAGCAATGTGTATATAATATTATACAGTTTGGGATGGGGGAGGAGGCAGTGGCAGTGGAGGCAGAATTTCAAAATTTACAAAGGAATGGCTTGGTCCTTCACTCTTGAGAAAAAACACTGTAGATATATATAGCGGGGCCTAATTAAATAATACAGCCACTTCGAGCAAAAGAAACAGGAATGACAGATTAATGGGGCATTTCTGTAAAGAAAAGGACCAATTTTTCCCTAGAACACCGGCTGGGTCGTGCGACAGGCAGATCAGTGGTGGCTAGAGTAACGAGGCTTGGCTGTCCACCCAAAATAAACTACATCTACAATGGCCAGACAACAGAAGTGACCTTGAGCATATTCTTACCCTTCTTCTACTCCAAAGACAAATTCTTTAACATTCTCTAGAACGGTTTTCTCCTTTTTCACGTTGATCTCCCACAAATAGATGGTGTTGTCGCTGCACACTGCTACCAGTCGCCCCTACAAAAACAAGAAACAGTCAATGACAAACTCACATAACCATCCTTGACACAACTTTTTTTAAACAAGTGCAATATCATCCTTCATTAGGATGAATTCTTACACTTTATAGATGTTTCTAAAAAAAACTGATTTTTTTACATACAGTACTGTCAGTAGGACGCTACAGAAATTGTGGAAAGCCTTTGATTATTGTCAATTGATGACAGGGACCATTTGATGTAACCTTAAAACCAAAAGTATGGTTACAGAGATACCCAGCAGATCTTTAACCAAAATGCCAACATAATAATTGCATCTAAAATTCTTTCAACAGATATTTTTATTTATTTCATGGTCAATTCAATATGCTGGCATTTTTTTAAAGAGTATAAGTGTGCAGATTTTAGCTTCATGTGTTCCTTTGAAATGTTGTGTGATGGCACAAACAATATTTCCTGTTTGGGTATTTAAGATATAAAAAAAAAAATATCTTCCTGTTTGGTCTATTCAGGGCATTTGAATATACATTTTTAAAGAAAATGAGAAAATGTTTTTAAGCAAAAATATTCATTTATTGACAATCATTTCTATTCATACTTATTGTGACCTTGACTTTAAAACCTTTAAATACCAACTCATTCAAGTTATTGAATTCTCATACTTTATTTTGCATAAAGTTAGTCCTACATCTGTTCAATAATTAAGTTGCTATAACAATACATGTACTGAGAGGGGATAGGGTGTGGCCGACATTCTTAAAACTATATGCCCGTGTCCCCACCCTCCTGGTCCCACAGATGGTGGAGGCAAAAAGGAAACTGTTTACCTGGTATTCTAAATCTGAATTCCAGGGACCCATGACACACATGAAGACGTGGTTTATTTATCTACTTGAAAATAATACTTATGGTAGGCCTTTCTACTGAACCGTTATCGACATGGGTGGGCTTATTGTAAAGCATGGTCTTATTGGTGGACAAATATGGTAACAGAAAAATACAACCAAATCCTATTTTATTTTACATCTGCCACCTAATCACGAGACTCTGATGTGCAGCTTGAGCGTGACTTGTCCTTAAATGCATACTTTGATCTGGACAAAGTGTTATAAGAAATAGCACTCAAGATTGATCTTTAGCATGGAGAACACTCCATATTGACAGCTTATATGAAATATAATATTAAGTGTGCTTATTATAAATCTGAATTTTTTTCTTTCAATTTGATGTTTATTTTTAAACATCCAGAAACAGCTTGGTCATTCTGTGATGTCAAAAATTCTAATAATACATGATAACAGTTGTTGCCGACCTCATACATACGAATATGAATTAATTATACTTTCATGTAACATATGGCTGGCAACACCAGCAATCCAGACCAGCCAGGAATTCTGATATGCCAGCATGGCTGGGTATTGTGCTATTTTACACACAGACTTACACTTCAATTTCAAAACAGTGTTTCAGGTCAAACTTTTATGAACAAGAAATGTTATCAGCACCAGAAACTTGGAAAACTTACAAAACAATTTCAAGTTAATGAATATTGCGATTTGTTTTCTACATGTTTACAAAATGTATTATTTTACTAGTTTGATCAATATCTCATGCCCTTGGGCTATGGAAATAGCACTTACTACAAATGCATAAAGATCGATAATTTGATATCTTGACAGAAGCATGCGTTCACTTAAATACTTTGTAAATTAAGCAACAGTTTTACTTCTCCACTGTATGTAGGACAAAATTTACCGAGAATGTGTCTTACCTCTTCGTTGAGAAAAAACAATTGGTTGACTGTGGCATCACTCATCAATTCACCTGTAAGCTCCACACCTGGCTGTCCATAACTAAGGTCAAGGTTAAGGATCACTTTTTTGTATGTACAGTCATTTTAATATCAGTATAATATTTGATCACTTCATCTCTTTAGTTCTCAAGCCTACAGCATGAAAGGTACAAAACATGCAACATTGTGTTACAGCTACATCGTCCTCTTGTACATTTACAAACTCTCAACACAAGATACAATTTTCATATTGACAGCTTATATGAAATATAGTATTAAGTGTGCTTATTATAAATCAGATTTTTTTCTTTCAATTTGATGTTTATTTTTAACCATCCAGAAACAGCTTGGTCATTCTGTGATGTCAAAAATTCTAATAATACATGATAACAGTTGTTGCCGTTTAGGGACCCTATATTGTTTGGGTCCCTCGTTATTTTTGTGAAAATTTGATTTGATGTCTGGGTCCATATAAACACTAAGGTAATTCTCCATATCAATTTATTCTTAGTCAATACATCTGTAGTACAGATTGTTGTCTGCAATTTGCTGGAGGTATACAATTATAATTTGTTTTGACAGAAGGCCATAAATCTGTGGATGGGTTCAGACCGAAGATCAGGACATCTATAAATCACATCACTGATCAGCATGAAACTGTTGCATTAGTACAGAGTGCTATTTAATATTCCTTCATAGTAATTGTGTAGTGTTGGGGGGAGGGGGGGAATACAGACAGACATGACACCATAGTAGTAACTGATACAGACAGTATTGTCCTGGTGGAGTAACCCAATTAGATATTCATTCTGTTTCAATGAGTCAGCAAAACCTGTCAGAACATTAACCTTAATACTTCACCAGTGCCCTAACTCGACCACCAGCCTTACATTTACTTTGTTACAATCTCCTCCTAAAGCCTGGAAGGACACTAGTGCTAGAGGTAGTAAAGTAAGGTCACCTAGTTCTTGCATGACCAGTAACTACAGGAAAATCACCTGCCCATAAAATTTCCTTTTGTTGAAAACTATGTCTATCCCATCTGTCGATCCTCACCTGAAAAGGCTAGCTCATCAAACAATGAATTAATCTCGTAAAACTATTCAAGTTATGGCCTGTAATTATCATATTTTTATGATTCACAAGCCTGATTTGTGCTAGAAAAACAACACGCCAGGGGTCGCCCTTTTAACCACACAGCATATGGTATAGTGTAGACAGAAATACCTGTCAAGCTGTCAGCTCGCCCTCAATAGCCCCAGTAAGTATCAAATTGGTAGCTCTGCCCATCTGGTTAATTAACATGACAGGGATCAATCTGTTGACTTACAAGGATCAGCTGTGGGAGGCCTTAAAGTTATTTGGATCCTAAAAACTTAAATAAGGCTTATAATTATAGTTAGACATGCCAGATGTATACAAACCTTCCATGTATACATAGCATGTGTGTCTGTGTAACACTATTACAACCAGTACTAACAGATAGCTCACATAACAAGGCAGGGTTTCTCCCCGGCATTCCAGTCATTCTTCCCCCAATAAAGTACTAGGTCACAGCATACATTATACTACAGACACACAACATAGTTTTATGAATGATTACAAGCCCACTGTTTATCCCATCTCTCCATATATACTCCAGTCGTTTTATTTGCCACCTTTACCTGGTAGTTCTTCTACAGCTTAACTGTTTAACTAACTACCTTTCCTTTTCCAGAAAAAAATCCTCAAATGTCTCCCACGATATATCATAATACTAAGAAATTACCGCAAGAAATAGCAGCAGCAGCTATAAGTTTAACTACAGGTCTATTTGTAGGGTCAGTCTTCTGTAGCTAATCTTGGATAACAAAATGGAGTGTTTATGTTTTTAAATTGACAGTAAAACTGTTCAATAACTAGTCAAAATAAGTTTCTCACAACAGGAGGTCGATAAAATGCAAACAATTTGGATTAATTTTTTTTATCCAAGGTTTGGTTTTCATGCTTTATTTGAATCAAATAAGCCAATATGAAGTCAAAAGTAGGTCTCTGAACCCATTGAACCCTGAAAACACATTTGAACCCTTCCAATTCAAAGGTTGGAATAGTTTATTATGAAATTTCAGGGGTAAATGAGTTAATGAACCGTGATGAACACAACTGTTCAATTATTTCCGTTCAAAATATTTGACAATTTAGATGAATTCTCGATACTTCAGGCATATTGTCAATACATCTCTTGAATCAGAGGCATATTTGTGTATTGTGAAATTGTGGTTCACAAATACATCCCTGCATCCCTCCTCCCATAAGACATACGTCTGTGATTAATTATTCTCAAACACAAGGCAGTCTATAACAACTCTGTGGCATTGCCAATTTATGAACGTCAGCAGTGAACAACAGCAAATAAAGTTTCAGAATAAACACTTTACTTGATAATATACAGCCATGATATCAATCACTGCCTAAAAGGCACATCCCCAGTCATTGTGGAAGTCAGCAGTCCAAGAGAGTGGGGGTTGGTACAGGTCAGCGTTTGATAGTATATATATGTATATATATGGCAAAGTGGAACTCTAGTCTCTACTCATAAAACATCAGAACAACTTATTCAAGAGGTTGGGGCAGGAATCCATCTTCTCAGTAGGTCAACGTTCAAAGGGAGAAAAATGGGCTAGAGCTTTGAGAAAGGATAAATCCTTTTCAGTGCACAAAATATAGGTCAAAGTTTGGAAGGAAAAAGAGGGGCTAGAGTATTGTGACAGAATCCATCGTTCTCAAAATAGGTTAATCATAGGTGAAAGGGTATGGCCTCCCATTGATAGATGCCCGAGTCCAACTATGGATCTATAATGTTATATATATATATGGGTGAAGGTGACTCAGCCACCGAGCCATGATCATCAGGTGAGACAGTAGAACCAACCAGTTTCTCTGTGCGTCAACGTCCTGGCTTATGTGTCTGACCAATAGATCACAGCTAGAGCTACATGTAAGTCATTGGCCATCAATGGAGACCTTGTTCAGTTGTCGTCCACAACACCAACCTATAGCTAGGTGTGGAAATATTTTATTACAATGAGGTTAAAAGCTCCGACAGGTAACAATATTGTTTTAAGTGACCATCATGAAGAAGAAACAGTCTTACCTAGTTTTGGGTACAGAGCATCATATACTTGGAGTAAGACTTTATATTTGCTGCCTGGAGTTATAAAAACTAGGTTAACCTACTCCGGATTATTCATTTTTCTGAAGATTTTTCAATACATGGATGCATGAATCACAGTATGTGTTCACTTACTCAGAAATAACAACATTATTGATTTACTGGGAGAGATTGAAGTTGTTCCCATTAATATTTGATGACCCGACTTTAAAAACCACAATTACTAATTTCCTATACAAATACAGTGTCAATCAATGGAACAACCCGTGATTATTGCTCAATGATAGCAAACATAAGCTTTCATCAATTACTGCCAATAAGTCAAGATTCGTGAAGAGTTCAGGATCTAGATACTATATTATATAATTACATATAAATCAACAGAAAAAAGTGATCTAGTCCAATCTGGCAGACCGTGTTTATTTGATACGAAACAGATACCTGGTAACACAGAAACACAACATACACATGTAGGAAGAAGACAATTTTTTTGACACATGCCATATCTAGGCTCCAAACTCACGCTCTATTTACCTAGTGTACATCATATTGTATACAAATAGAGTTCAGCCATCAGTTCAGTATACAATTTCTACAAAACTTGTAATAGTTTGAAACTTGCCACAACATCGCTTCACTGATGTCACATATGACTATCTAAGTTTTCTCACGCTACACAACCCCACTTTCAACATATAAAGAAAAATTATTTCTATCTCTGACTACTTCAAAGATAATGTGCATGAAATGGCAATTCAGGCCTACATTGTGTACAATGAGACATTTGTTTACCTCTATTATCAAACAAAAATGCTGACAATCTCTATATCTTTCAAAGTGACTTTTCATGTACAGGTATAAATAGTGCACCATGAGACCAAGGGCTGGTACATATGGTATAGTTGACACAGTGGGGTATGATGACTCACTGTCAATATTGGTATTTTATCAAAACAGTATTGACATGTAATTGGCCTGATTAACAGAACCTACCCCCATTGTGCTTCTATTGTTCTTGTACATACTTCATAAACAAACATGTCTAATTACAACGGGAACAATATCTACGTTATAATGACGGAAATAATGCAAACATTCCAACATTTTTAGCTCAAGTCAATCACAGAACAATGACCATCCCCTCTATCATTGTCAGACATTGTTCTAGAGAGTTTTAGATTACTATTGAATACCAGGGTTGGGAATGTTGGAACTCCTATGGAAGTTGAGAGGCCTACAGTAGCACCGAGGCCCTGAAGAGATGATAGCATTACACCTAGTGTACAGGTTCTGCTCTTCCATTATCACCAACTGACCAGGTTTTCATGGCAAAGACCCTGTGTACCAGATAAAGTTGGCAGGTTTTTATCTCCCTTTTTTTACAAACCAGCCATGCCTGTGGTTTTTATTCTGTGAAAGAATTTCAGCCTTTATCCTACATCCATTGTGTCACACAAATTAGACCAAATTCTATCAACTACATTATTGCCAAACAAAAGAACAAAACACAAAGAATTTAATTTGGTCCTATTTCCTGCTTTACAAATATAATGATAGAAATTTGATTCTGTCTATTCAAAGCAACAATGCTGAGAGTCATTGAAACTAATTTTCCGAAAAATATTTAAATAGAACTAGATTCAGCTAACATACTCAACATTACCCTGTTTGTTCCCATATTAAATCCATCTGCGATGAATTTACGCTAGACCTTTTTGTAATGCCTACTAACGGTTATGAACTCTGACCCCAGAGCTGTTAAGCCTCTTTAAAAGGTAGGAAAATATTGAAAGTTCACATAAAATCACTATACAGGTCTCACAGATTTTGAGAAGGAGAGAAAAATTTAGACAATCACAAGATCAAAAAGCTGTCAAAGATCTCTCGAAGATTGTACTTAAGAGTTACGC